AACACTACATACTAAATATACTATAGAAAAAATAACTGCATTACCTCTTATAATGTAGGATTTCAACAGCACTTGCAGTCACTCCTTAGAGTTTTTCATCTTTAGAAACCAAATTACTCATTGTCTAAATAGCTGAACTTTCATCTCTATAAATAAGATATTTCAGCTTTGCACAATTCATTTTAAATGCTGACAAATACGAATTCTTACTTGATTCTCAGTTTTATTGTTCAGTTTCATTTACTGTAGCAAATGTATTTGTTGAAAATGTAACATAGGACTTTCATTTTTTAGTAATGGAAAACTTCAGAATTAATCACGGTCCCTAAAATTTAGCATTTATTTCTGAGAAAAAAAAATCTAGCACCTTTGGGGAATTAACATACAAACACTGAAAAAGGCGAATGTCTTTCGTTTTGGTCATAAATCTTGTAGTGAAACGAAATAGAAGGGTAAATGTTTCTATACATATTCTTTCTTTCTGCTTGAATCAAGCCATCTTCTACTGAATATCTTTTGGGCGCATCTTCCAAGTACAGCCACAGCAATTCCTTGTGCTAGGCCAGCCTGCAGCACCTCCACTGTGATTACCTGCTACGCTGAGTATTGCAGCCACTCTCTCTTATCTCTGTATTTCACATATGGCTGTGCTGTAGTTTCTTCAGAGTTCTGTTGTGAAGAATAACAACTGAATTATGTCCCTACTGCTGTGGCCAAATCCTGCCCCACCAAACCAGCCAGTTGAAATGTGTAGCCCTTGCCTTTTGTTCTCTGATACACAACTGCAACCGCTCTCTCCATTTCCTCCCTGGGCTAGTATACCTAAGGAAACTATGTCTCTCCTATGAAGCAGTTGATCACTTTCTCTTTATTAAAATGTTTTCCCTAAACAAACTTTTTTGGTGAGATCTGTCATCAACAAGCCACTGGTAAGAGAGTTATGATTATCATAATTCTCTCTTAGGTAGTAAAACAGCCTGTCACTGACACGTTGCTGTCAGTACATATCTTCCTTAACTGTGTTGTTTTAAGACCCATTCTATTTTTCTCACTGTGAGTTACTTCTGTAACATTTGATTCTCAAAATTCTTCACCTCTATTTATTCATTCAGACACAAATTTAGCCTAAAAGCTAAATACCCATATTCCCGCTGTAAAAAAAAGAAAAAGGAAAAACATCTGATGCATTGACAGCTTTGCTCTGTTCTCATTTGCTGTCCTCTGTGTCATTTAAAAGACCTAGTATGTAGGAATATCACAGGCCTATGTGCAAGTGAAAAGTCATGAGCTAATGAAAGAATCTTGATTATTGAAAGCTAGCTGAAAAATACAGACGAAAAATCGTTGAAAGAACGTTAAAACCTGTGAGAAGGATATATAAACCTTTGTCCTCTGGCAAGGCATGGATGAACACTGGCAGGCAGTCATCCTACTGCATCATGGAAATATCTTGCAAAGGCATTGTGAAACTTAGGTGGCCTTAATAAAGGTTTTAACATTTGGATCAGTAAAGATGCTCTGTTACTGGTTCTTAGTTTATCTGGCAAATTTTAGACTATGGATGATAGTTTTTATTAAAAGATCAAAATGGAAATAATTAATCAAATACCATAGGTGGTTCTTCTTGGATGGTAACTCTAAGCTATAGCAAAGGGTTCATATGAATTTTGCTATTTTCAGGTAAAAAAAATCTGTATGTACTCACAGCACTTTTCCATTCATCTGTAGTTTTTTTAGGTAGATGAACATCTTTCAGACTCATAGTGACCTCCAGCTTCTGTAAGTTCCCTCAGATTTGTACTTGATTACAGCTGCTCTCAAGTTTTGGTGCTCAAGTCCATAAGCCTGTAGGTTAGTAGGCACCTAAATGTGAGACTTCACTTGTTATTACCGTAAGTGAGACTTGTGGCAGCACAAAATCCTGCTCTTTGCTGTCAGATCACGACATTAGAAGAAACCTGGTTCTGAAAACTAGAATTGCATCTTTCATCAGCTACCTTATGTGAGCCAGTTTTCAAAATTGGTAATTATGCAGGAGCACTCAGTAACTCAAAATCAGCACTACTTATGTTTACATGCTGGGAACTGGGTTGTAAGAATCTAACTTAGTGACCTTTAAAAAAAATAAAAAACAGGCCATACATTTTTAAGACTTCTTAATCATGAAAACTTGATGGTATTGAATATCTTTTGTAATCATGAGCCTTCTGAGTCAGTGGTGGGCATAAGGGTTATGAAATGCTCTTCTCTTTATGTGCTAGGCATAAGTAGGCTAATTTTTTTAATCACTACTCAATAGTCAGTAGGTTAGAATTTCAGTTGAAAAAAACAGTTGAAACGTTTGCTTTTGAGCATTAGAGGCTAACAGTAACCATTCATTTGATGTTGGTTTCTTCTCCCCTCCTTAATCTTGCAAATAAAAGCTTCACAACCTGACCATCTCAACGTGAGGTCTTGAATTGCCATTTCAAGCCACAACAGTGTTGCTTGCAGAAATACCCATTTTTTTCCCCTGTAACAGTGGTGTACACATATTTTCCAGACTGGCTAGCTCCCTGTACAAACTGGTATTTATCAAAAGTTACACATCCTCCCAGTCCACATGGCAATGTTGCCAGCACTAGTGCAAATTCTTTCAAAGCAGAATGCAAATTACTTATATAGTGTAAAAGGAATTTACAGAAATGCCAGGCTAAAGCCTGAGCTCCGCTGTCAGCCCAGGCCACGCAGCCCCTCATTGCCCGCAGGTAAGCCAGTGGTGCCTCTGGGCAAACGTTCTCCAGAGAGGGCACGGCGAGCAGCGAGGAGCCAGGGGCAGAGCGTGAGCAACAGCAGGGAAGGAGGATTTTAGTTTTCCTCTGTTTGTCGCCATCCGGCTTTATTATAACTGGCAAGAAATTAATTTTCCCCAAGCCAAGTCTGTTTTACCCATGATAGTAACTGGTAAGGGATCTTCCTGTCTTTATGTCGCCCCATGATCTTTTCCATTGTATTTTGCCCCTGTCCTATGGAAGAGTGGGAGGCAGAGAGCAGTTGGCTGACCTGGGTCGACCCACCACGCTATGCTGCTTGCCATGATTGGTTATTGATTTTATCCTCTAAGAAAGATGGTATATTGTAGAAAGAACAACTCGTACCCCATGTTTTTTGCCCTGGTGGCTTACCTGAGAAGGGAGAAGGATATTCTTTTGAACTTCAATTGATAAACTTGGATTTGTTTCCTTTCCTGCTCTTGAAAGTGCAATACATGCTACATTAAGTACTAAAGCTACTACTTGGAGTAAAATCTAAGGGTTATACCCTAGATGGTTGAAGTAGATGCTAAATAGCTTCCTAATTAAAAAAAATATAAACCAAAATAATTTTAATAGACAAAATGCAGAGCACGGAGAAAGCCATTATATTCTTTGGGGTTTAATTGTATTCAAGTTTATTGTATTGCCTCTATGATAGTGCAGAACCTGATTATTTCTGAGCTGCAAATGTGCAAGTTTTCAGAAGTTTGTGAAATGTGCTTCTTACTCTCATATAAGAATAGTATGTTATTAAGCAAGCATAGATGCACCTCAAGAATATGCTAAAAGGATAAAGTCCCAGTAGCAGGGAAAAAAACCCCACACGATTTGCTATTGTATACAAGGCTTCATTTTAATTCTCCAGAACATCACCAAAATCTGGGAATCTTTTCTGTTTTCAGGTTCTCCAGTTTTCTAGTTCATGAAAAGAAGAGTACTTTGGCCAAAATATTGAACAGCGTTGATTTCACAGTATTCATCTGTTATCCTTTCGTAGCATCTGTGTGGTATTGAAAAGGGGTGGCAGGAAACAAACAAACAAACGAGAGCTTCCATTTGTCACCCAGAGTTCTGACTCTGCCCCTGCTTCACGCGTTTGTCTAGCCACTGAGTCACTGAGCTTATAGTAGTGGGTAACTTTCATTTCTGTGGAGGCTTGTTATATTAGAAAAAATGTTCCAAAGAAAGCAACAATTATGACATAAGCACATCTGGCTCTTGCAAATTATTCTTTATTAAGCTTTCATTTAATTATATGTGCTGAAAGGTCTGCTTTTGATTACTGTAATTTTTTTTATTTGTCCATCTGAATGATAGTAATGTTGGAAATTACATACAAACCACCTGGCTTTTTTTGTCACTAATAAGGCAAAGTTTATATAGATTTATGTGTAGAAGAGGGATTAGGATCTTCCCTGTTTATGGTAGAAGAATTATTGCTGATGGGAATTCAAGGTGCGGGTTTAAATTTGGTCACTGGAAGGAAGTTGAACCTGTTTGGTTTTGTTCAGTAAACACTTCACTGAACTAGGTAGGAATAGTTTATTTTAATATACAAGTCTTTTGTTAAGTTTCAGTTAAACTTTTTGAAAAGTTCCTTGAGGCTGTTTTTGTATTTTCATCACTGTTTACAGGGATTTTTAAGGTCTACATTCCTTATTAGCATTTATGGAAGTTATAGCGGTCCCTGCACACCAGGATGGAGACATATCCTGATGCCTGTTTTAACTTTCATTGCTCTCTAGACAAGATGAAGCATCGCCTTTTGGTAACAAAGGATTCCCATGTCAGCTCCCAGTAGAGGTTCTAGAGTTGGTGTGCAATTTCTGACTAAGAACAGAAAGACCTGAAGCAATTGTTGTTTCTGACAGGACTTTATACCTCCTTTTCATAAACAGCCTTATAATTTTGTCAATTTTGTTTTTAGTATTCAGGCACAGTATAGCCTTCTTCTGCTCATTACCATGACCATCATTAGCAAGAATGAAAAAAAATCATCTAGAAGTCAAATTAAGAAAAAAGATATTGGTGTGTGGAAGTTTTCAAGATTTATTTTTTTAAAAAATAACACGGGAAAAGCCATAAACAAGAAAGTGCTGAAGAAAAATCTGTAATTCCTTTAAGAGAAGAAACAGTGAAATAATAAAAATTACATGCATTTACAGCTTCATTTTTAGGAGTTTTGCATATCTTCTTGTCTTTTAGCAACTGTATGCAGCTCAGCTGGCAAGCATGCAAGTTTCTCCTGGAGCCAAAATGCCATCTACTCCACAGCCACCAAATACAACTGGGGCACTCTCACCCACTGGGATGAAAAATGAGAAGAGAGGGACCAGCCCGGTAACTCAAGTTAAGGTACTGTTCAGTAAAGAAAAAAGACGGTGTCTGAAAAGGGCAGTGAAACTAAATTACCTATTTCATTGGTTTACATATGGAAGTTGAACCACATGCAAGTTCTTCAATAATCAGATAAAATCTTCAGTTTTACTGCTGTATTATCAGTACAGAAAAGGGGAGAGAAAGCATTCACTTCTTGCTTCCAAAAATAGCAGGCATCCCTCTTCCTACCATGGGCAGCACAACAGATTCATCAGTAAAATGTGGTATTTCCAAGATTTCGATTTGTAATCTAGTAATTTGCAGAAATAGTGTCCATTTCATGAATTGTTTCACGTTGAACTTTGGGGTATCTTAAAATACGGTGCTAGCTTTTATTGTCAGGGCGACAGAGAGACTTTATACCTTCTAATTATTTTAGAAATCTCTGACTGTACTTATTCTACAATTTTGGAAAAAGCCTCACATAAAAATAAGATGCAAGTCAAGACTCCAGGGAAAACATTGTGTCATTGCAGATTGATTTGACTTTTGCTGATTTCACACGGCTGCTGACAACCGGGCTGCTCCTTGTTGGTTTTGCGCCACTGCTGAATGCTTGTGCCTGCTTATTCTCACTTGCTTGGAACCAGGCAGCTACAACACGGCATTTGCCAGCAGCTTGATATGAACGCCGTGCACCCCTTGAAATCCCTGGTGCACCTACGTACCTCTGGGTGAAACTGGCTGGCTCGTATTGCTGTGTTCTCCTGTGGTGGTTCTGAATTTCGTGAGACCAAACGTGCTCAGAAGCAATTTACTTCAGACTGTCAAAAACCTCCAACATTCAGATGTTTTTCCAATTTGAATGATAGCACTATAAATGCAGAATTACTAAAATAGATCTAGTGAAGGCATATAGTGGCTTTGTGGAGAGAGAATGCATTTTGTTTTGCTAGCTGCTAACACCTTACAGGTGTATGGTCCTTACCCTCAAATCTCCCAAAGCCTGGGAAGATATTACTCACTTGAGGTGAGGGTTTCTTTTTTTTATTTATTTTTTGACATGAAAGTAAAATATCATTCGTTCTTTCATTATCATCAATCATCATGGTAAAGTGTGGGTGACGAGATATTTCTGCCTGGGCTGATAAATTTCCATGACATTTTTTTGCTAGGCTGAGAGTACTAATAAATAAAAAATATGCCATTATGGCCAGATCTAACATTTATTTAGCACAGCGTTCACTTTACTTAACTGTAGATGTGTATTAGTCTAATATTTTACCTCTTGTAATCCAATGCCAGGCTTGAGAGCAGTCAGTAAAATTTACCACATATGCAGAGTTTGTTATGGGCAATACAGAAGCCACCAAAAGCAAAGCCCAACTGTTTCAGCAAAGTTGCCGTAGTATAGTGATACCTAACACCAGTGGTTTATGGTATTGAGAATATACTACTGACTACTTTAATGTGAAAAAAGTAATTTCATAAGTGAGTGAGCCAAATGGATCTACACCAAACCAAACCTTTACTATATGAGTAAAATTTTCCCTGGTTAAGTTCAAGCACATATCTCCTTGAACCATGGCCAATACTATTCCAGCTTTGTGGCCAGCTGAGTCCTGTTAGAGAATTGACCACATGCAAATTCTTGGGGGTTTCCCTACATAATGTATGTTGAATGGACTCAAATATATGTTAATAAATAAGAAGCCTTCTTATTTTTATTAAGCACAGTATTGCACTGAAAATACTAAACTACAAATGCTTTGTGTGGACAAATGCCGATGGCTACTGAAGAAATTAATTATTAGCATACACGCAGTACCTGTAAGTTGTCTTTTTAAATTTTTACCTGTGTAAGACACACGCATTTTGATGGTCATACATTTGCTTAACAAATCCTCTATATTTTCTCTGTTTTTAAGCACTTGTTAGTATAAACTACATGCATTATTTATAGAACTAATGGAATTCTTTTACAGAGTCAGATCTTTCAAAAAGTAATGACGGGGTTTTTATGTCAGTGACCATAATGTTTTCCAGCTTTTCGGTTGCCTTGCAGAAATGAGAATGCTGTCTGTGAAGTACAAACAAACAGGTTCTGGCACTATTTGGAGGTTTTTTTCACAAGATTGTATCAGTACTAGGCAGAAAATTATTATTTTGAAATTGAACATGGTAGTATAGATTCGTATATGTAAATGCTCACAGTACCTAGTCTGGCAAACTTCATAGTCTGAAAGGGGCTCCGACCCCTCACAGAAATTTATTGAAGCCAGTTTGTATCTGTGCAAGGAAACAGCTTGCACGTAAACATGGCCACAAAGCACAAGAATGAACTTTGTCCATTATACCTTTGTGTTTCTGCTTTCACTTGGACTCTGGACAGGTGTGGGCATTTCTGCACACTGCAAGGTCAGGAAGAATAAAAATGTCATGCAGTTTTATGGAAACAGTTTAAAACTGGAGATGTAACAGCATTATAAATACCTGTTTGTTACAGTCCTTTTTAATGCGTGGTTATGATCAGTTGTACTTAGCTAAATCACGGCTTGACAGTAAGGAGAATGGAAAAGATGAGATAGTGTAGTGTATTATTGTATTCTGACATTTATTTCTAAGCTTTGATGTGATCGGTGCAGTGTTTTAAAATATGGACGACACTCTCTTATATCCAGCATAATTCTGCTTTGGGCATATTTTAAATGAGAGATCTATCTTACTGGGCTCTTTAATTACAGAATATCACTGTTGCACAATTTTCCAAATGCTCTGCCTTGTTTAACATTTAAGCAAAAGGAAGAAGCTCAGAGAATGGGAAGAAGGTTACATTGTGAATATCTATCCTGATCAAAGAAATTAATTGCTTGAATGAGTCTACTTCCAAAAGTTAAGATATTTCTTAGACGGACCTATTCAGCTACAACACTGAAACAGGATATATGTCAGAAAGAATTTCTTCTGTAATTGCATGTGAAAATATCTGAAGATATAAAAGTGCTGATACGAGATTGATGTATCCTAAAGAATTATTCCTTGTCTGTGGGCAAATAATCATACAAATACACTAAAGGTTGAATACAGAAGAAATAACTGCAGAATACAGAAACAATTACAGAAGTATTAAACAAGAAGCAAAGTAGCATTTATGTGAAAAAAATCTTGATTTTACATAAAATTGTCAAAAATATGACAGATTTACATAATTAAATATTATAAAATTACAAAATTAGATAGTAGAAAATATAATACGTTTGAAAATGCATATCGTATGCATTCATTACTGTAATAAGTCAAGGAATTGGAGTTCAGTGAAATTCTTATCTTCTATTATGGGGGAACAGTATAGACTATTTTACTAAACAAAACATGCACTCAGAATAAGATGCGTGGAATGTATAAGTTAGCAGCAGCATTAAAAGTGGGCCAAAGAACTGTCAGTGTTTCCAAATGATTCTTTCATAGAAGTACTTCTGATTCCTTAGTTTCTAATACATTTAAAAATAAGCTCCGTAACTTATTTTAATAGTGCCAGAAACTTTTCAAATAGAACCAATGCAGAAGCATTACTGAGCTGCTGGAAATTTTAAATAATTCTTTGTAAATGCCCTAGGTTAATTTAGATCTCTGAAAACACATTATGAAATTAAGCTGTAATGTGATCTAATTCAAATTTTAATTTGGCAAAAAGAACGATCCAGCCACATAGTTAATGTAAATAGAAGCATAACACAGAGAAATTAATGAGGTTTCCTTTCGTTGAATCTTAAAGGAGGCAGATAATTAGCTGCTTTTGTTATTATTGCTGGAGAATGTGGTATTGTCTTCGAGGTGTAAAGTAACTGCTGCTTGCAAAATGATGTGTTCATTTGTCTTTACCTAATAATTATTTACATTAAACTCTTGTAGGATGAAGCAGCCCAGCCACTGAATCTTTCAGCCCGACCCAAAACAGCTGAACCTGTCAAATCCCCAACATCTCCAACACAGAACATTTTCCCAGCTAGTAAAAGCAGCCCAGTGACAGTGACGAACAAGAGTGGCATCCCCAGCCCGCTCGGTGGATCTCTGGGAAGAGGATCCTCTTTAGGTAGGTAACCTGTCCTGGGAAAGGAAGAAAACTGGCAAATTTCCTATGTAAAATCTCAGCTTGAGCAGGCTTTCTTCTGAATTAAGTAGGTATTTGGGCCTATGTTTCTATTTAAAATGGGAGGAAAAAATTGCAGGAAAGATTTTCTCGGAACTCTTGAATTCCAAGGTTTTACAGGAGTATTCAAAATGATGTAGTGGTGATATGCATCTATAAGAAATGCAGCAAATAAATATATAACGTATGAAATAACATACAAATATATGCATTAGCAAATAGAGATGGATATATAAAATGTGTAGAAGAGGGTTTGATTAATATCTTCCCCAAATAACACCAATTGGGTGTATACCTGCAAAGTTAACTTTGAATTTTGACCCAAACAAACAAAGAAATATCTGCATGCACATAGAGCCTGACTAGATACCAGTAGACACGTAATGCAATCAGTGTATATGCAACGCACCACTGTAACATACCTTATAATAAACAAGTTTTCAAGCACTTCCTTGAACTAGGGTCAGGGAACATTCAGTATCTCCATGGTTTACAGTAAACTACAAGCCAGGCAAGAAGGTAACTCTAAATGTGGGTTTCAGCTATTTAGCCCAAATATACTGTTAGTTTTAGCAAGAACAGCATTGTAGAAAAAAAAATAATCTAATCCTTTGCATTCTGGGTATTAAGTTCATCTTACAAAGACAGTATGCTGAATATATATATCTATCTTTTTTCTTTAAACAACGAAAGGCTTCAGTCCATAATCCATATGGTTGCATATAGGGAATTTTCGACCCATGTTCAAGATTCATTAATTAAGGAACAAAGTTTATTAAGTAGTGACACAAAACAGATCTGAAAACTATGTATGAAGGCCACCTTAACCAGTCAAGAAACAGAGTCGAGAGCTGGAAAATGTAGATGATCAGCCTGAAAATGACTAAATACTTACTACAGACCACTTATTCACAATCTGTACCTCAAGTGTACTTAAAAAATATATAGAAACACTTGTGAATAATGAACAGATATGTTAAATACATACATTAAATATATAAAAATTATGATTTTTTCCATTTCCAAAACACTTGGGGACATCATGATCTCTGAAAGATATTTTCTGCAGCTAGCTAGATATTCTATCTGTCATTTTATTTCCACCTGTTGCTACACTAACGTTAGAAAGGAGCAGATCATTCCAGAGAAACAACCAAAGATACACCTGAAGTGTGAATATTTTTAATGTACAGTCTTAAAAACTTTTCCTCTCAATCCTTGAGTATAAAAGAAGCCAGAGAAACATAGTCAAAAACCAGCATGCAACGTGGGAGCTTTTGCTCTACTTTTATGATAAATTTAAGTGATTGGGAGTCGAAGTCTCACTAAAAGTCATGCAAATATGGTTCCCAACTTACTGAGACTCCAGAATGGAACTCAGCTGCAGAATCAGTTCAGAGCACTGGAAAGTTTACCCAGCAAGAACCATGGGTATTCTCTAATATGAAACTTTTATTTTGAATAGGGGTGCTTCATTCAGACAGAAAGCATCACTGTTCTATCTAAAACATCACAGTTTGCATCTCTTCTCATCCTGACCACTGTTTTGTTCCCAGGATAAAGTATGACAAATGTTTCAAGAATCACAGAATTGCCTAGATTGGAAAAGACCTTTAAGATCACCGAGTCCAATCATTAACGTAGCACTGCCAAGTCCTCTACTAAACTGTATCTCTAAGCACTATGTCTGCACAACTCTTAAATACCTCCAGGGATGGGGAGTCCACTGCTGCTCTGGGCAACCTGTTCCAGTGCCTGATAAACCTTTCAGTAAAGAAATTCTTCCAAATATCCAATCTGAATCTCCCTCGACACAACTTGAGGCCATTTCCTCTTGGCCTATCACTTGTTACTTGGTTGAACAGACTGATCCCTATGTCTCTGCAACCTCCTTTAAGGTAGTTGTAGAGAGTGATAAGGTGTCCCCTCAGCCTTTTTTAATCTGGTTCCTTCAGCCGCTTCTCATAAAACATGAGCTCTAGACCATTCAGCGGTTTTGTTGCCCTAATTTAGACACATTCTGGTACCTCAATGCCCTTCTTGAAGTGAGGGGCCTAAAACTGAACACAGTACATTTTTTTCCGATAAAAAAAAATTAAGGGTCCTTTGAGGTTGAATTTGCTGCTTAAATCAGCAGAAATTCAGTGAAGTCCAGAAAATATGAAAACTGTTTTTGAGGGAGAATTCAAAGTCTTAACCTAATTGTGTTTGTTTTTGTAGTGTTAGTAAATACACAAATCTAATAAATTCAGAACTTTTGTAAAAGATATTTGCTTGTCAGACACATAAACAGGTCATGTACTAACTTTGATTGCTCAAAATTTACTAGCTAGAGTATCTACACACAAATCTTTCCATGTGTGGTATAGAGCCTACTCCAGTGTTCAGATACCTCCATATCAGGCTATGCCAAGACTTCAGCTGCTGTAGTAGTAACAGCAAAAGAAGTCCACAGGCTTATCAATCACTTCTATACATTAATTCAGTCTTCAAACAGACAACAATTGCCACTTCTCCTCCTTTTGCAGATGTTAGTTGGGTGCAGCTCTAACATTATGAGAGCTCAGCGCTTACCCTAATTTCGATAATTACCTACATAAAGTATGTTTTCTTTTTATAGATATCCTTTCCAGTCTTAATTCACCTGCCCTGTTTGGGGATCAGGACACAGTAATGAAAGCCATTCAGGAGGCTCGAAAAATGAGAGAGCAGATCCAAAGGGAGCAGCAGCAGCAACAGCAGCCACATGGTGTTGATGGAAAATTGCCCTCCATGAATAGCATGGGTCTAAACAACTGCCGGAATGAAAAGGTAATGTGTCCCATTGCCACACAGTCTGTCATTCATTCTTCTTTTGCCTGCAGATAGCTTCTTATTTTTATATAAAATATCTTTTTAGAGCTTTTAGCCACCTCTGATTTCATGTTAAATACACCTTGTCACTTCACTGTGCTGTGCTACGAACTTCTCTATGTTTACATGACAGCATTCAAAAAACCAGGGCTGTGCACTCATGTGATTAAGCTGTAAGCATGCCTATAAAAAAGTGGAAAAAGAATTGGTCGAAGCTACCATTGTTTGTGGTCAGTAGATTTTGAACTGTGCTTTTGAGAATGACTGGCTTGATAAATATGGCAGAAAGACCAGTTATGTACTAGCACGGTCGAGTATTACAATGCTGTTGAATTCATCTGAGTGTGCTTGAATCTGTGATTCAGATATTACAAAATTTTTAGGCTCTTTGATTCAACGGGAACTTAAAGATCTAAGTTCTGTGTTGAATCTTGACTGTAGTTTCCAAACACTAAAATGAAATTAGGAACCAGAATCACTATGGCATTGGCAAATAGGAACGGGTATGATGCAATTTAGTAGTGAATTAAAACAAAACCGACAAATTCATCATCCTATAAAGCAACTAGTCTTTTTGATTATTGGCTGAAAAAAAACCCCCAAAATAATTGAAAACCAGGTGGCTTTTAATCCTATAGTTCATTAATGAAAATTCTGTGATATATCTGTATATTAGAGAGTAGGTCCTTTGTATCTTGTGCGCAGGAGGAAAGATTATATTATACTCCAAAGACTAACAGGATTTTTTAGTCCAGGTCGAGTATAAGGCTCAGCAGAATATTAACTGTATCTTAAAAAGTGGATTGCAGCAAGGCACAGAAAGGCAAAGAAATGTTGTAAATAGACCCATTGAAGGCTGATACATACCTTTTATTCTACATTTTATATTTTTGCTTGATAGGTTCTTTACAGGACTCAAAACAAGAGATAGGCTCAGTCTCTATTAAAAAGATTTTTAAACAGTTGCTACACAGGATTAACAATGCTTTTACAAATCAAATTCAGAGGCTAATAGATATTTATTTCTGCTAGCGTTAGTTTAAATGTCAGCATTGAAAAACTCATGTAATGCAGATTGATACTATGAAAAAATGGAGAAATTAATAACTGATGAGGCAGGCCATCATATTCAGACAGCACTCTAATTGTAAAGTCAGTGTTTGTCTTAACTAAGAGGTAGGGTGCTAAAGCCCAAGTTATAAAAATAAAATAAATGTCACGCTTCTGATCAGTATTAAGAATTTATAAAATTATGCTTATTTTAAAATATATTTTATGAGTTTCAGTGGCTTGACATTTAAAGTATCTAATACACTATAAGGGCTATTAAAAGAATTCTTAACATTTGATTTGACTTTGAAAAGTAAGTAGAAAAATGGCATCCACTTACCTATCAGGTCTGCTCCCTGAGTATTTTCGGTGCTATGTTTACATCTTGTGTTCGATGGAACAGGTTTCTGCTTCACTTTTTAAAACAGAGTCAGTAAGTATTTCAGTGAATAATCTGAAATTTCTGTTGTGTGCCGGTTACTAGCAATACACAGATTGATGTACAGCTTCCAGATTAAGGTTTTACATCAAGCAGTCAGAGGAATTTTTTTTTCCCTTGCAAATATAGCAGAGTCAGTTGGAACTCTTTTGCAAATATAAACATCATTCTCAAATGCCATCTTTTATGGGGAGACTTTTCATGGTAGCACTTGCAACTCTTAAAACCTAAGAATAAAACAGTAGCCAGTTGCTAAATCTCTTGGTGCCCTTGTATAATGCTGATGGGTTTATTTATTGTAGCATGTACTACAGAGTGAGCCATTAAGGCAGGGAAAAATTGTAATATGTACTCTGGTTTTAACTTTGGATGCTAGTCTGTTATCCTTGCTCTGTAGATGCAAGAAAAGGCAGCATTTACAAAAGAATGGGGTATAAATTAGTCACTTTAAATGACGAGATATCCCCACTCTCTACCCTAAAGAAAGTAAAAGAATTAAGTCAGTCGTGAATACTGAGGGAATGTATTTATATTTTATAGCAAGTATAAAATACATTAAAACCAGAAGCATCCTTTGTACAAACAGAATTCTAGAATATTTTTATTTCCCCTTTACCCTCTGCCTTTCAATTTTTACATTATTATATATTTCTTTTACTCTAAAAATGATGTGCAGGATGATCAAAATGGAGGGAAGGGAGAATGATTGATCATTTCAATTAGAAAAACATAATTTTGAAATAATTGTATGCCAAGAAGATTGTGTATAGATTCTGTCATAATCCCAGTGAAGCTTTGATAATATAGTTGAAATTTTGGATTGGTTTCTTTTGAAGAATCAGGACCCTATGTTTTCAGGACCAAATTTTCAGAAATTGGCTTCAGGTAATTAGACTTGTATAAATGAGTAGCTAGAAGCCAGCACCAGAAAAAGATGACAAATTAATTGCCTGCAGCTGGTTTAAAATAGCTATTGAGTTCTGGTCAGTTACTGGTCTTCAAGTTCAGATAGCTGGTAATAGTTTGTTGTGCAAATGATTGCGCTTACAAAATTATGTACCTAGCTTCAAAGCCTGGGCTTAGGCCTTTCTGAAAATGTGTCCTTTAAATCTCAGAAAGCTTTGTGTTTGGTTAGAGACACGGAACTGAAAATCGCCTCTGTTCATATTGTGTTGTTCAAAAAAAAAATCTCCTACAAAGCTTTAAAAGCGCTCACAGAGATTCGCTTGACAGAAAGACCAAAACAAAAACATGCAGCACTGTGGCACAGTCCAGCTTTGTCATTTCCTAGAGTTAAGCTTAAACTGTGCTTCTGAGGTTACACCGTTCTGTGGGCACCTGCGGTTCCAGAGGGATCTCCCTCAGCCTGGGCGCTGCTGTGGGCTGGGCTGGGCAGGCAGGCACCACGCAGCCGCTCGCCCCTTCCCCTCCATGGGATTGGGAATCAGAAGGGCAAAAGTGAGAAAACTCGTGGTTTGAGGCAATTTAATAAGTAAAGCAAAAGTTGTGTGCCGTAAGCAAAGCAAAAGGAAGACTGCATTCGGTGCTTCCCGTCAGCTGGTAAATGTTTAGCCATTTCCAGGAAAGCAGCGCTTCTGCGAGTCTAACCGTTACTTGGGAAGACAGATGCCAAAGCTGCAAACGTTTCCCATTCCGTCTTCTGTTGCTGACCATGACGTCGTATGGTGTGGAATATCCAGAAAATAGACTGCAGAGCTCTTCACGTGTGATAGAAGTAGAGGTAAAATCATACAGAAATTTGCTTTGTTTAGAGGATATGACATTTTTTCCAGTCAAGCCATGTTTACGTGCAACAAAAAAAAAAGAGTACTTGAACAAAATTTGCATTGCTACAGCTACTTGAATTCATTTTAGTATTTCGAACTAGCATGATTGCCTAGAAGATATGCCTTGATTTAAGGCTTTAAATGAACCTGAAAATGCTATATAATTTAAAAGATAACTGACATTATTTTTAAAAGGACCAGATTCTATCTTTTTTGTGCACAAAGCATGAAAACACTGACAAAAACACATCAGAAAACCTTTGCAGAAAAAAGTGTAGGCAGAAATGTGTTAATTTCACCAGCAAAAAATATACAAAGTCAAGGTAGAACACACACCCAATTAATAATTACAAGATATCTGCTAGACCTCGGGATCTACCCCTACCTCCCCATTTCCTTACCCACAAAACATATTTACTGAGATCTGAGAGGAAGAAGAATATAATATAACATTTTTATGTTTATATTCTGTCCCCACTCTTTTGTAGATATTCACACAACTGTGTATTTGCAGTAGGAAACGAGAATTAGACCTCAAAATAAATGACATGAATCATTGCCTACTTCCTGGGAATTATGGTACTTTAGCACCTCTTATAATGAGCCTTTTATTCTTTTTTTATTTCTAAATCAAAGTTTTACAAGTTGAATCCACATCATTTATCCTAATATAGACCACAGTTTGTATGCAAAATGTGTACGTTCTTAAAAATGTATCTTATTTACCCTTGGAGAAGTTACAGTCGATTGATCAAATCCATATTTAGGCACTCGGATTTGACTTGATAAGCCATAACGACCCTTTGGAAGTGTTACGGTCTGCTGTATTTAGGGACTGTTAAATATGTGGATTATTGACACAATAGAGTGTAAAAACTCCTCTGGAGCTGTTACGCTTCATCATTTAGATGAAGCTACTGCACATGCGTACAAACTTTGCCTGCTAAAAACACTTCAGGAAGTCTTTGTAGGAAAAGTTACTAGTCATGCATAATCTCCTTTTGACTGCCTACGGCCCTGCAATGACTCCATCATTATACTGCTTTTTTTTTCTAGATGCAGGCAGTACTGGATTATGTTGCCAACAGTCTTTTACCAGCTTTTTTCTCCCCATACATTCAGTGCAGAACAACTGCAGAGGCAGGAGTCACACTGCAAGGAGTGTTTGCTGCAAGTGCAGGGCGTTTCTCAGACAGTCCCCAATAAAAGCACCTTGTTATTAGTAATTTCTCAACTCAGTTGAAAAAAAAAACAAAACAGCACATAGTTAAGAAAATACTTTCCAGTGCATCCTGCATTCAGTTATCATTTTTCCTTTTACTGAAAGTAGTTGTGATGACCCTTAAATTGGTAACATGAATAAAGTGGTCATAAAAGCCTTGTGGATTTTTATAAATCTTTATGAATAACTGGCTTAGATTTGCAGGGACTGGTCTGTTCTCATTTGCTTTTATCTTTTAAGAAAAACTTCTTATATTTTCTTTTTTTCTTTAGTTTCTTATAGAAGAATATTTGTAACTAGTAAATAAGAGGTCAATGTTTACATTTCAGTCTGCTGCAAGACATAATAGAAATTAAGCATTTTCAGTTGGATGCTTATTTCTGTTGGCTAAATCTTAGTTCCAGTAAGTAAAGGGAAAATACCTCCTAACTGGGCAATATCAATAGCAAATGACTACACT